GTGAGAAACTCTCCCCCAACTTTCAACCCGTGTTACTCCTTTTCTATGCAACCTACAGCAGAAACGGCCAAAGGGCTGTAGAAAACATGGCCAAGTGGAATTGCATGATCATGTATGAAAGGCAGAGGAAAAGGGTTGGAAAGCTCCCTCCCAAGCAGGGTCAGGGTCGTCTCTTGAGACATCAGCCCTCCAAGAGACACTGCCCCTTGTCACCACTGGACAGGAATTCGGATCACGAGCCATATCAAATTATGTTTACCCCCAAACTTCATCCTTGGCTTTCCAGCCAGCCTGCTGGCAATCCACAAACCATATCCAAATGAAAGTTTGGCTGCGGATTTTGTCACATTAAAGTATAGCAAACAAACAAGCTAGCCTCTGGCTCCTTCCTCTGTGCTGCTCTCACACATAGATGTGTCTCCCACAGTGGCCTATTTTTACTGGCAGCTGAGAAGTCCTACTGACCATTTTAAAGGTGGGATTGCTTTCCTTCCCTGTTCTTCTGCCTAGGACCTTACTTCTGCACAGGAAACTTCAGAGTGGAACTTGCAAAAGTCCTTGGAGAGGGAGTGAGCATGAAAACATGGGAAAAAATTAATCTCAATGGAAATCCTTTACTAATTGACAGGTTGGAATAAGAATGACCATAGACCCCAAACTATGCCAGGCAACCAGTCTGCTCCAGGCACTGCAAGCTCACTCAGCCAGCCACATGCCTGGCTGTTTTGCTCTGCCAGCTTTACAAAGCCTAATTAGTACTATTCCTTTTGTTTGTAATTACAAAAGCAAACAGCCCTTGGAGAGTGAGGGAATAGAGGCAGCTCCTTGACTGAGCTTAAGAAAATGTTCTAAATAAAGTTTGCCTCTCATCATGTGTACTTGAAAATATGAAAGGGATGAACACAAGAGCCCTGGTGAATGGAAAAAGGTTTCCAGGCCAGGTAGAAGCAAGGGGCATAGAGCCTTGCTACGCTGGGGAGGTATCAGCGCAGGTTAGAAGAGACCAGCCCCAGCTGGAACCATTCTCTACCTGTCCTGCAAAAATAGTACATTTGACTGTTTGTGCTCATGGTCACAGCTGGGAGAAGCACAGTACACTCCCAAAGGGGCTTTAGAGCGAGATGGATCCTCCCACAGCCCATCTCCTCATGAACCTGTTAACCCAGAAACGTCAAGGAATTACACAAAAGAGTTTAAGAGACAGATACAGTTCAGCACGTCTCTTCTTGCTCTGGAGGCAGAGCATCTTGTGCAGATAGCCACAGCCTGCATATACCCTACCCCAGATAAAGCTACAGAGCGCTAAACACTGCCAGAACACAGACCACTTCTCCCGGGAGCGCCTTGGCTCCACACTCCATCCCTTCCCCATTCCTGCAGCTCTCACTCCCCAACAAGGGAGCCATCTGCCTTCCCCCTGCCCCTTCCTGCTCCACCCAGGGTGCAGCTGGCCTTGCCGAGGAGCAAACCTTCTGGTTCCTGGGCTGCAATCGTAGCAGATTACTGGGTGAGTTTCTGCCAAAAGCCACAACTGCCTGACTCACTGCGTAGATCTGTCCCCACCTATGTCTGCTGTAGATATACACAGCTAAACGAGCTCCATCCTGGCAGGCAGGCTCCCAAAGGCCCAAGCCCCCCTCTTCTCTTCCATGCACACTGTCCAAGTTCTGCTCAAAACCAAGAAATGAAGTAATGCAGTCTGATTTTCCTTAAAAAAGTCCATTTATTGAAACTGTTTAAACACTTTATACAAGTTCCCAATATAAGCGTCTGCTCCCTGGCTCAGGGTTAATGCAAATACAAAAGCACAGACTTCAGCAGCTCTTTAATGTGACCTGAGCTGCCAGCTCCTAAGACAAGGTCTCGTGAGGCAGCTGCTGTGCACGGGCAATTCCCCATGGAGAAGTGGAAGCCACATGACCCAGCTCCAAGTACAGGCCAACATCAACTCAAGCCTGAAACAAATGCTCTGGTTGTTTGTGTTTTTTTTTTTTAAGTAACTTCGATTTATGTTGCAGAGAGTCAGGTCAAACAGAGGTACAAGGCTTATACAAACCACCAATGCCATGGTTGTATACCACTCAGTCCCAGAGGCTCCCCCTGTCTATGGAAGGAAATCAAGAAATCTGATGCCTCTGAACACATACACAATTATAAAGCCTGGCCAGAAGCAACCAGTTTCCTTCTGTAGAAAAAAGCAAGGTTGAGCTTTGGAGAACTGTTGCCATCCTTCTAGGAATTACAAGACTTCACTCCAGACAGCCTCAGCCAGCGGTAGTCAAACACCAAGTGACTGACTGGGTGTTTCAGAGGAAGGGTTGGGAACCTTTGATGAGCTGCATTTTTTTTTTTAGATATGACTTGCATTATGCAAGGATGGTTTTATCTTTAAAATGCTAGTTTCTTCCTCTTTGGTGAGCTTGGATTAAAAGAAAATGCCATAACTTTTGGGTCAGTTTCCTTGGAATTTGCCTTCATATTACTGAAAGCGTTTACAAGAAAAAAAGACAGGATCAAATGGCAGCATGTGAGGTATCCTTGGGGAAACATCAGGGAGTGGCAGTGCATTCAGTTTGGTTTAACATTTAGCTGCGTAAGGCAAACTGAGATCGGTAACTAAGCCCAAATGAAAGAAACTCAAGGAAATAGGAGAGTTTGTTAAAAAGTGGCCTGTAACACACACAAGGGGATAAAGCTTCAAACCCAGTTAGGTACGAGGGTGGGAACATGGAGAAACAATCACTGGCAGCACTCAGTGTCTAAGGAACAGCAGCAAGAGCCCCACCAGAGACACAGAAGGCAATCATTTTCCTTTAGCTCTTCCCTGGCACCAGGGAAACCTGCAGCTGCTTTGGGAGTTTCCTAACCTCTGTAGTTACGATTTTGCAGCCAAAGGCTGCAAGTTGACACAATCAACTTACAAGATCTTGTCAAAAGAGTGATGACATACAGTTAAGCCAAGCCACCTTACACTGCATCTTCTGTTGGCCAACAGCGCATGCATGGACAGTTACAGGTTTCAATTTGTTAAGTCACAGCAATTTAATTGTGTCTGACCCTTTGTCATGCCAATCTGCACAGAAAGGAGGGTGTGAAGATGATGCCAAGAAGACAGTACAAGAGCACTTTAGATCTCTTCAAACATTCCTACATGTAGTCTTTTCCCGAAAATTATGTTTCCCCTTAAGCTATTGGTTTCATCGCTTTGTATATATGTTCCTTTAATTTCTACACACACCACACTGGGCTCTAACTTAATGGGATATGGGACTGAATTGTTACCATCTATTTTTAAAAAAACTAAAAAAAGCACCAACATCCATCTAAAAAAAAGTATCATTTTCCCTTTTACTCCCAAATACTAAACTTAACCCAAGCTTGGAGGTTTCATCTTTCCAGTGGCAATACCTATGAACCTAGGCTAGCCTTCCTCCATGGGCTGGGAGAGAAAGGAGAAGTTATGTCCAGTAGCAAAGAGGATTACAAAAATATACACATTTTTGGGAGAAGAGGAAGGCAGAACCTAGAGTCTGAACTCTGCTCAGGACAGTGGCATTGTAGTGTCCTCTCCAAAATGCTTTCACTACCAGTGCTGGCGGTTCTTCTTTGTTTCATTATACATAATCCTTCCCTGTGGAGGGGGCATTTTTTGGATAGCCTCGGGTGGGTGGATATGAAGTTTCTCTCCGTGGACAGGAGCAGCAGAGGAAGGCTCCCCCCAGCATGGCCAGAGAAGCAGCTGCCCAGCCAATGAAGAGAGCTGATCCAAACTCAAATCTGGAGGAGAAACAAGGAAGAAAGTGAACACCTCAAAAGTAATGCCTCTGTGTTACAGTGTTAGCACGTCCACACAAAGCAGAATGGACCTGAAATTGGGATGGAAGTGGCTTTCTGCAAGACAGCAGCCTGAGAGTCAGCAGAGTCTTGGGCTGCTCCAAAACCCAGAACTTTTGCATGCTGGGTTAGTCCAGTCTGTCCGCTCACCCTGCACAGCTGCAGCAGGGCCAAGCTCTGTGCAAACCAGGCTTTAAGCATTTAGTGGAGGAAAAATGCAGAAGTCACAGCAGTTACGTCTCTGGCAGTGATGCTGCCTTAAATCTTGGCTTTGTTTTAAAAGCCACATGGATGACGAGATCTGGTCCTAACACTCCTTCTGCACAGTATGAAGCCAACCCAGCTAGCTCAGGAAATTCCCGTCTTTGTTTTGAACCACCGCTACTCAAAACTAAGCCCTGTGAGCATTTGTCATGCTATACTATAGTGTTAATCAAATGGGTCAGTACCTGGTGTTGACAGGAGTGAAAGGGTCGTAAAAGGCCCGAGCCACTCTGTTGCCATACCATGACGTGGCCACCAGCGCTGCCAAACCTGTACATGAAGGGAAGACAGTGTCATGCCTTATTAAGAAGAAACCCAAAATAAACAAAAATCACTGCAAAAATTGCATGTACCAGAACCAGCATCCAGAGTGATGCTGAGCTGCTGCTACCCTGGGAAGATCTGAGCTGTTACTTAGTGCTGGTTGGGAGAGGAATTAAGAACGGATTTGAGGTCACCCACAGTTACATTGCACCAGAAGCAGGACTACTGACAGCCTTTCACTGAAGCAGGGCATACAGGTCAAACTCAGCTCTGCTAATAGAGATGGAAGGTATGCAGTCCATATAGAAAGCATAATGCTAGTGCCAAGAGACCTGTCTGATGCCTCAGATAGCCAGCAGCTACTGGGCCAAAGTCCGATAGGGAATTCCCAGCCCAAAATGCTCTTGGAGCAATGACAGCAAGCCCTCCCCATCCTCTCACATCCTACGCAGGACAAATACCATTTAGGAAATGGCACATTTAATATTAAACACATCTGTATGTTACCAACCTGCAATGATGAAGATCACCCCACCAAAGACAGCCATCCGCATCTTCTTCACCTGGTCATCTTCCATGCACTTCATGCATTTCATGCCAGTCACAGCAACAAATACAGCGACAAGGCCCAGGAGTATTGCAGCCACCATCAAAGCCCGAGTGGCCTGCAGACTGCCTAGAAGACGTTAGGATTTGAGTTACCACAAAGAAAACTCGAGATACAAATAGAAATTCAAATTACTGGGCTCAGTAACCATGTGTCAAAATACTCTGCTCCATGTTACACAGGATACAACCAAGCAAGACATTCCTTTTTAGCTTTAAGCTCCAAGAGACTGTCATGCATCAGGATCAGAGGACTCTCAGCCTCTTCTAAAATGCATGGCAAACAAGGGCATGCAGCTCTTTGCAGGAAATGACCTGGGAATTGCCCTCAGACATCTTTTGTTCCTTGATCACTTAAATCCCAATTGGAAGGACATATCTGTTTATCAAAAGAAGTATTCAGATTTAGGCTCTATCTTGACAAAGCTTTTAGGCACATGTTTTAATATGAATAGCACCATACATATGAATAGTCCCGCAGCAGACAGTAAGGCCCCTTTATTGCTCAACACTTCCAAAACCTGTCTCTTATTCAAATACCTCAGTGCTGATTTAGATATTTTTGCATTAAATCCTCAGTTTGAGTCCCAGAGGGTACACAAATATAGTTGCAACAGAAACAGGATTTTCCCAGCCAAGTAAAAAATAGGGGGTTTTCTGCCTAAAATATTCTATTTATTAGACTCAAAGATATTAAAAATGTTTTAAGTGCCTCTTGTGCTTTTGGAGAATTGCAGCATGGAGTGATGCCTCCCATAGGCAAGGATTGTATTTGCCTGGGTTCTCAGACAGACTTGATGTACTTCATCCAAGATTTGGCTTTATATTGACTCATCTGAAGGCACAGACACACTAACCCTATGTACGTGAGCTACTGAATTCAGATTTTCTTGATACCAAAGGATAGAGAAAATAATAATATACAAAACCACCTGAAGAGCAGTGAAATAAGAGCCCGAGCTTTATTGACTGGCAAATCAGGTTTGTTTGAACAGCATGGATTTTCATATACAATCCTGTTAAGATCTGGGATCAAACAGGGCTGGTTAATCAAAGGAACAAGCTCCCAGGAACATGCTGTAACCAAGGCAAAGTGTCCCCTGACAGAAGGTTATCTAGCAGCGACACATGTACAGTTTTAGCAAAGCATCACCAGAATCTGTTCCCAAGTCTGAAGCTCACCCCTCAGAAAGCACCTTGACTGCATTCTGCTGGAGCTCTCCAAAGCACTTCAAGCTTGGACAACTGCAGCTGCGAGATTAAGCCTACAACAGAGCACCTGCAAACTCAGTCAGCACTGGTATGGTGAACCCATCAGAGCCTGTGCTACAACAATGAGCTCTTTGGTTCAACCTGAAACGCAGACAGGAGTTCAAATCTGATACTGGCCAGGAGGGTAGCACAGCCACACAACTGTCCTCCGCAGCTTCTTTACTACACTTTGCCCCACGGCACTGCTTGTGCAGGAAAATTCTTGTGACCCACACCAACAACAAGCTACCAGGCTCTAGTTCTGCTTTAGAACAGACCTGGACCAGCCTCTATATACACAACCTTGTTGTTCTGTAAATAGATTATGAAACCAATTAAAAACAATAAAAAGGCAATATTCAGAGCAATAGGAAGCGACACTTTCGTAAGAGAGTCTTGGCTTTCTTGGGAAAAATCCCACAATCAGCTTGGCTAAATGTCATCTCTCACTTCCTTCAAAAGGGAAGGGTGACACACCTCCGCACAACCCAGGTGTTCAAAACCCATCTGATGTATTGATTGTAGAAACCCATTTACAAGGCCATTTATCACTTTAGCATAAACCACAACAGCAGTATCCAAACACATTTTTAAGCGATTTACCTCCAATGTCAGAGATTACACTCTAAAAATAATTTCTAGCTTACAAAAGTTATGCCAATCTTCAGAAAGACTTCAGCTGCCAGGTTACCACCCAGACAACCAATTCAGCTGCCATACATTTAAGGCTAAATTGTGCATTACAGCAGCAGCTCTGGAGAGGCCAATGGCTGAACACTAGTTCATACTTTGCATGGGAAAGGACATTTTCTGTAGAGGTTCCAAATCTGTTTCATCAAGTCTACAGTAAGTTGGGCTTAGTCTTGCTGCAGAAGAAATTACTCTATAGGAGAGAGTTTTGAAAAAGTTCTTTCATGAGGCTGAAAATACGAAATGTTATCTCGAACAACTAGAAAACTAGTTATACGGGTGGGAAGAGACCTCTCACCTTCAAACACGGTATAAGGGACAAACACAGGAAGATGCTTGAAAGTTTCTATGACCTCAGAAGACCTAGCTAAGAAACCTGCTAAAATCTCAAGATGTGCAAGTATTAACTGGATGCATGCCACGACAGCTCTGCAGAGGCAGCTGAACAAAAAGCAGCACTGTGAGCACTTCCCAGGGCTGCCCGCTTTCAGCAGCGGACCCTGGAGGGACATCTCCTGGTGTCCTCACCCCTCCCTTACGCATGGCTCCATGGCATAAGAGGACAGAAGCATTTAGGAAGCTTGCGGTAGAACAGAAAAACAGGTTGGAGCATCTGCAGAACAGATTGCCCCTTTATCCCAATAAGTTTTAGTGTGACATGACTGTATTAGCCAACCATCCTCCCCTCTGCCCAGCCCAGTTGCCCTGTGCTCATAGCACGTGCTGGGAGACAGTGCTTTTGTCTTCCTACCACTTTTGCAAGGTGTGCAGTACATTGTAGTTAATAATCATACAAGATGTCAGTTATTATGTACACATTAACCACCGCATTGTCAATGGAAGCTGCACATCCAGCGGCTGAGAAAGCAAGTTTAATATTAGTTTTATTGTTCACACGGGCTTTTCCAGGTGCTTTAAAAATCCCAAGTGATATAATATTGTCTTAACCTGTTAAACAGGACTGGCTACCAACAACAAGCAGAAGTACTCTACAGCAATTTAACTTTACGACTTCTATCATATTAGAGAGAAACAGGATTTCCCCCACGCTCCTTGCTGCTGCAACTGTCTCACCAACAGGAACAGGTAGCACAATGCTTGTAGCCTCCCATGCCATATGCCACAGCTGTTGGAAAGCCCAGGCAGTCTCAGGAGCCCTTGGGGGGAAAAAAAAAACCAAAACAACAAAACCAGTCCTGCACAAGGACAAACTGGCCTGGCACCCAACAACAGCTGTCAGCTAGCAACAGTATTTTGTCAATATAAACCACTATTGACTCAGAAGCCAAGCCTTTTTATTGCTGGTTAGTAATGAGAGACCTGGCCTGAAAAGCCTATAGCAAGAAAGCAGCAAGTACTGAAGGACAGAGGCTTAAAACTACTGAGGATGGTTAATAACAAATGTGAATTCTGCAAGCCATAAAATACTGTGTAAGACCACAAAAATGACATAGCAGCTCACACCTGTTTCACATAATGAAACCCACTTTTTTAAAACATGCTAACAAACAGCTCTGACTTATCCTTAGTGGGTTTGGACACAAGCTACATGATGCAGTTTATCTGAAGCCTACGTAAGACTTTTTCCTTCCCACAACTATCATTACCTGACACAGAAGTAATTGCTGGTAACTGCTTAGATATAAAAAAAAGGACTTCACCAGCATATGTTTGATGTTATTTTTCTGTCATCACATTTCCTTCTTTATTCTGTTTATATCATCTACATTATAGAAAAGCTGTTGGGCAAGTGCCATGAGATTTTTGTAATGCCTGTTTGTAATGCAAAATTGCTGTAATAGCTTTGTGCGCAGATTATTTTCTGATAGTGATGCTCATTGTGATAGGGATGCTCACTGACCATCTTGTTTGTATTTAAACTATGGACTTTTTCTTTCCTTCCCATGGGCCTCCATGAACCAAGTGATGACAGAATACAGGTGAAACAGATGCTGTGCAGCACCCTCTAATCTCTGCAAGGGAAGTGCCCTAGGAATTACAAGCACCCCTGTAGCATAGGAAGCATGTTGCACCGTCCACCTCCAAGAGAAGTCAGCAGCCTTCAAAGCCTTCCCACTGGGGTTTCAGGAAAGCTGAATCTCCTTGAAGGAGCGGGATCTGAGATCTGTTCTGCCCTGCCAGCATGTGAAAGTTAGTTTTGTGCAGCAGGCAAGAGAATGAAGAACTAAACAAGCAGTAACAGCTTCAGAGGTAGCCAGCAAACGTATCTCCCACTTCGCAGTCATTCTGGCCAGACCCAAAAGCATGCTAACAGCTTGGGTCATTCCAACCCCCTTACCAGCCCCTGCAAAGACCCTCCGCACCCATCACCATCAGATATTCCAGTCTGGACTCCTTCAAAGCACCTCCCCGCAAGTCTAGAAGACTATACAGAGGAATCTGGGCAGCACGCAGACTCAGACAGGGCCATGTTTCTTGCCAAAATAGGAAGGCTGGGAAGTCCTCACTGCATGTCCAGTGCAAAAGAGGCAACTTCAGTAGGTGACAGTGGCCTTGTACTCTGCCTACCCCAAAGCAAATAAGGTTCAATGCCCTCCTGCAGTCACTCAAACAGCAGAGAAAGCTGCCTGGTAATACAGGCAACACATAGTACCACCATTTCCAGATTCCTGGTCAGACAAGACCTGGGCAGCCTGTTTTCCCACGAAGCCTAGAAATTCTCTTACCAAGAGGTTTAGTAACACTAGCTACTAAAGCTGCTTAGAAGCTGCTTGTAGAGCAATAAAGCCAGTGTATTGCAACAAACTCCCATCCCCTCTTGCAGCCACAACAGGGCACTGCACAGGAACAGCCTCGGTGGCATTCCAAGTAACCTAACCATCTACCTTCTCAAAGTGCACAGCACAACTGAGGCTTGCTTTATCACTCGATCATGATTTTTCATGAGGAAGGAACAGGGATTGAGAAACATGGGAACAAATTAACCCTTAAGCCACATGAAAGCACAGATACCAGCAGGTTCTACCTGCTTACTCCAGATCTAAAAATGGAGAGAGGTGACCAGCTATTTGGACACATTTGTCTCCTGCTACAGCTTTGTCCCTCCCTGGGCCACCCTCCCAATTCTCCCACTATCAGGACAGAGCAGCAGTAACCTGAGCATGAACCCTTCCTTCCCCCCACCCATCCTCTTCCCCAACTCCTGGAACACTCAGCCAGGGTGGTAAAGATGTAGGAGGGAAGATTTCACATTTCAGTGATGCTGTTTGTCCCAGAGGGCACCCAAACCCTTTTTTATTTTCTGGGCTAGGGCACAAAGGCTCATTGTGGATGTACTAGGTTTGGTGATGAAGTGGTAGATGAGTCTCAGCTTGTCCCAAGCACAGAACCTCTCCCAGCAAAACCAAACAGGGCAATGAGTATCTTCAGCTAAAACATCCTAGACAGGAGCCAGAACAACCTCTGCTCTGAACAGGAGAGTGTGGTTAGGTGGGGCTGAAAGCTTCCAGAGACAGGTACCAGAAGCCCTTCTCCCCCCTGTCTGAGACCATCCCCCTGAGACCCCGGAGGAGCACAAAGCTGAGCTAAGCTCCATGGACGATGCTGGAGGGCTACAAGAACAATGCTGAGGCTGTGCAACAAAGCCTTGTTGCAAGGGTGGCTTTTATTGCCTCTATGTCTGCATGTGGCCACACACTGCTTTTCACGTAAGCCAGCAAAACGCAGCCTTTCTATTGCCTGAATAGGAGCACTGACATAAGCCCTCAGCTGAACACAGCTGCGGGAGAAATGCCAGCATGGGTACACTCCAGCAGTGGGGCCACACGAGAAGCTGGAGGCCCCTCAGTTGGCTAACAGTGCTCATCAGCTTGTGCCAACCCCATCTCTGACACGCAGCATCAACCCAAGCAGCCAAACACTGACACATCTAGAGGAATGGCAATAGCTACCAGATACCCAAAAGCTTGCTAGCAAAGCTCTCCAGCATTCCCACAACCATGAATTACTGCAGGTGTGAGGAGACTCAGTCCTTTCTACGGGAACAAAGTAATTGCAGATCTAAGCCTCTCCCATCAGTGCATGAGGCTCTGACATGTGGCTCAGAGCATTCAGGGCATGTGAAGCTCTGGCAGGAAAGCATGGCCAGGCAGAAGTTTTTCTGCTCACATAGCTGTACCACCTTCACCATGACAAATGAGTGCAGTAAGAGCACCTGTCCCAGGGTGCGGCTGTTGAATTGGGTATAAATGGGCTTTTTTTCCACACCTCCACCCAAAAGAGCACTGCTGGTCCCTGCCCAAGCCTATGGGGCTGTACGGCCTTGAAGAGAGACCAGGTGGGGAAAACAGCAGCGAAGGTGTATGTCCCTAGGCATGATCTCCTTTCAGGCGGGAAAGGCACAACCTAAGCAAGCTGGGGTACCGAAAGAACAAGCAATCCTTTAGCCAGCCCTCACTGACTTCCCCAACGAGGAAAACGTCCCCTGCGATTTCCCTATTTCTTGGGCTTCCTGGAAATTTTCAGGCAAGCACGCCCTGCAGGGCCAGGGGCTCTGCAGGAGCACAAAAGGCCATTAATAGCTCAGCCTTGGTCCCTGGCACCTCACACCTCCCTCCCCCGTAGCCCGGGAAAAGAAGAGCCCTTATTGTTTGCAGGACAAAGGTGAGGGGAGCAGCTGGTTTTCAGCGCTCAGCCATGAATGGGGCAGGTCTGGAGGTCCTGAGGCAGGTTTTTAGGAGCCCGTTCAAGCCGGGCTCCGCATACGATTCTGCAGGCAGGTCTCATTTACAGCACAATGGGCTGCAGCCACACAGCCCCCGAGGCAAGTTTACCTTTCGCAACCCATCCAGGGGGTGGCTGGAGATTCCTCAGCCCTGCTGGCATCTTCGCCCCCCCCCCAAGTGCGAGATAAGAGGCTTGAAGCTGAGCTTATACATAATTACTATTCAAACCACCCCGGACCGTGTGCTTAGCCCAGCCCTGATTATCCACAGCCCTGCACCCTGTTAGTGCTAAGTGGGTGCACCGCAACTCCTGAAGGGAGTAATTTGCGCCTCTGCCAGCTGCAGGGCCCACGGGTGTTCGGGCAAGGGAGCAGGAGTGATTGATGTGGGCTAGCAACGAAGGTGGGGCCCGGGGTGTCCGGCTTCACCGCGTGACACACAGGAAGGGTTGGTGGCAATCTAACTGGGAGATACTCCCAGTGGTCCCTGGTTTATGTGAAACTGCCTGCCCATTCCTTTGGGAAAGAGAAGGTGACCAAGGTGATAATTATTATTTTATTAATTAGGGAGAGGGATGAAAGTGTTCCAGGACACTACTGGACTCGGGATGAGGGGAGGGATATTGAGAAAGTATGATTTTTTTTTTTTAACCCCTTTGGGTGTCAGCAGAAGTTACACGCCCCAGCGCTCTAGAAACAGCCCTCACTGGGACTCCAGCTCGGCGTGACCACCCCGAGTCACACCCCAGCAAGCCAGGCTGCAGTCCCCGCGTGCACGAGATGGCTTTGCCGTCCCCAGGCAACTTAAGAGCCCCAGATATTGCCTTGATGTACTGGTCTGCCTAAAAACTACAGGCAG